AAAAAAAAGATGATAAGAGCTGAAGGTTAATAGACATATGAAAAGATCGACTGTCAGTATGGAAGATCCTTCTGAATTGTGATTAAGACTCGAAAACGGAATAGACACCCTGAACTATCTTTCTTCTTACAACTTACATCTATTCAAATCAACTATATATTTGTCCGTTACACTATTTAAAATTTGTTTTCAGTAAAAATAAGAGGTCAAATGGTGCAGATATTTAACTTTTCATTGGATATCACAATCCTCAATATGAAATTACATATTATCGTTGTCATAAAGCACTTACTCTTTCCAACGATGACCAATGAGAATTGGATTCGTAGCAGGTAATGGTTCGAACTAAAGAAAAGCATTTTTCAATCTGTCAATTTCTATAAAAGTATTACTTGAAACTCTGGAATGTGCGTGAATTTACTCTTGTACGTTGTCAGAATTTCATGCGCTTTTTGACAACGCTCAGGATACTTATCCCATTCAACATACCTGACGAGAGTAAAGAAAAGAAAATGATATCAAAAAATAATAAAGTTTATATATGTTCACCTACCCATGCCAACCGATTAGCTCTTCCGGAAAGAGTTCTGCTAACTTTGGATCCTTGTTAGTGAAAAGCGATTCTGTAGTTTTACTTGTGTTCGTTTCATCAACAGTAGGATTACCCATGCGCAATTCTTTTTTTAATATGTCAGTAAAATGCGTTGTCGCCGTTCGTGTAGTACTTTTATATTTTGAGGTAGAAGTAAGCAGTTATTTATATACACATCGTCGTTATCTACAGAGTGTTACTTTTTTCTTTTCTCTTATCTCTTTACATATAATTTCAACGCATATTCATTATACGAGTATGGTTGTGAACTCTCGATAGATAGTCGCTTGACTCTTTCAGTTCAGTGTAAGATAACTGCACTTGAAATTGTATATATTTGAAAAAGAAAAGAAGAAAAAAGAACTGACACTTCAAAAAACAGAATACGAACATATATCGTTCATATCAGGAGCAGAACAATGAAAAAAAAGAAAAGAAACAGTATGAAAAGATGTTATTGCAGATAACATTCTTTCAAATGAAATAAAGAATAACGAAAAAGAAGTGAGAACAATGTGAACACTAACATTGGTAGTCAAAAAAACGTAGGTGTCGATATAGTTGGCAACTGTTCACTCATCGACACCCACCTCTGTAGTGAAATTCTTACAATCGACTAGACGATTAATATTCTTGTTCAAGAAACATAAATGAAATTAATGCTTCGTTTCTTTATTCTTCATATCTCTTTCTGTTCTTCTCATGATCAACAAAATTATAGGCACTCACAAAAATCGTATAGAAAAAAACAATAACAACGACATATTTCGAGAGAAGATTCTTTACTGATAATCTTGAACATTATTGTTTAGATCTAGTTAACGACTCTTCCAATGATTTCATTTTGAAAAAAAGAACATGATTACATGGAAGTGTTCGATTATGAATTGCAATTGAAAATATCTGTTTTTTTAGAGAAAAGACGTGACAAAAAACAATAATTGTGCTCAAACTTTGTATTAATATTTAGACATGATTAAAATCAAATTGAAATATTAATTTCATTGATTAATAAATTATTGACATAACTAAAATATATTTTCTAGATAATCCATCTTCTCAGGCCTTTATTTTATCACATTCATTTATGTTGTTTTTATTGAATGAGCATCGTCAGGTGGGTGTGGGTGTATGTGTGTAGTAAAGAACAAACAGATTCACACCCACACCCTTGTTTTTTGTTCATGAAAAAAAAGTCTGAAATAAAAATATTTAATTCAAAATTAATCAAGACTTCTCAAAATAATGGGTTAATATGTATTGAATGGTTAATAATATATGAAATAAATGCGTTAAAAGCCCAGTGATAACCAGTTTTATTTAATAGAGTTACTTCAGTTGAAATAAATAATTTTTTATAGATTAAAATAATGAAGTTGTTGAATTGGAAAATAAAGAAATAAACAATTTCTGCATAGCGAAATGCTCAACAAGCAGCACTTCAAACTGAGTTACAAAAATACAGAAAAGAAAAAGATATTCAGGAAATTATTATTTTTTTATAAATCAAGTATAATGTTCGTTTTCATTCAAAAAAGGTTTTTGTTTCAATTAAAAAAGGTAATTTATTGAAGGTATTTTTGAATTCGATCGTCTAAATAATGAAAACAATGCTATAAAATTGGTAATCGTTTTTTCTTACCGTATTCTAATTTTAATGCATTATATTGTTAGGTCTTACCGTATATGTGCATACAGCGCAAAGAAATGAAAACCAATCTGACCTAAACACGGTCAAAGATGAGGATGTAGATGGTGAGGATGGGATAGTAATAAAAGAGAGAATGATGGAAGGTAATATAGATGGTTTATGTATGAAAATAACTAAACAAAGCAAAAGGAAGAATAACAATATAAGAGAGGAGAGGGAATATGGATAGGTAGAAGGGAAGAGCAAGTAATACTTGGGGAGAAAAACAGATGAACTGTACTATGAACTAATGTACTAGAGGGAAACAAAAGTGAGAAAGAATAGAGAGAGAGAGAAAGGAGCAGAACGAAAAAGAACTTGGTGTGCGAAAACTACGAAGACATTAGGAGGGGAGGGGTATATATAGCTTGATCACGAGTGGTGATCAAGTAAGTTAGCGGTAACTGAGTGACATCTGTTATTGCTAACATATGGTATGTATTTCTATATTTATTGCATCCTTTATGGTTTTGGAATTTGTTTGTAGTAACTTGAACTCTTTTTGGAACTTCATTGTAATCAGCTGTTTTTGTGTATGTAAATCAGCCATCAATTTATCAAGTGATGTTGTAAGCTTTAATAAAAGAAAAGTTATTAATATTGTTGCTTTTTTGCTTACTTGAATTAATAAGTTCTTTGATGCAAAATTGTCATCGTTTTCAAACCGTTTTACGATTCACCGTAAACGATGTCCTCAAGGTGACCGTTTACAACACCGTATTTTTTCACCTGGGTAATTGACTCTCTGCTTTCATTCGTTCAAGTTGGTTTTTTGTTGCCAGTTGTCGAAAGAGTTCGTCAAAACTGACTATGATTTATAAAAAGAATTTTTGTTGTTATTTTTAATATTTTTCTTACTTGTTCGAAATTATTTATAATTTCGATATTGGAGTTATTTTGATGCCATATATTATTAAAATCTTTTTCCAAATAAAAAAGTTAAAAGAGTACATTAATCTAAAAAAAGTATTCAAATTCAGTACAAGAAATATATTTAATTTATAAATAGTTGTTTTAGGCGGTAGATATACATATGTATACATACATATAAACAAGCGAACTAACATGTTACGATATGTTTATATGTATGTCTCTTTTCCTTTTTTCACTTAGTCGGACGATTATATATATTTTCTGCGTTATTATGCATGTATTGATCTAGATCTGAATTTTCATAGACAAACAAAGAATAGGTACCTCCACACAGCTCCTCACAGGTTTACATCGACCTTCTTCTGGCAAGATTTAAGTATACTAGTCTTGAAGCCCTCGTCGAGTTATATGATAATATATATTTAGTTTGGCCTTCCATCATGCGTAACTCTGACAGAGCAGGCTGAAAAGTCGATTTTATCAAAAAATGGGCCCCAGAATCACCCTTTCTTAGAAATTTTGATTCAGTCATCAGATAGAGTACTAAAAGTTGTCTCTGTAGAATAATTTTCAGAATTTTATCTTTAAAACTCATGTCGTGGAAGCGTTGACAAAATTGATAAAAATAGCACTTTACGTCAAAATCGAGGGTGTAGGTGTATCTATCTTCTCTACACTCACACCCACCCACATCCACTCACACCCACCCACATCCACTCACACCCTCAAGAACAAGAATAAAAAGATATACTGTAAATATAGACAAGATTGAAAATCAAATAATACTATGAATACTATCTAGCCCACAGTAGTTTGTTTTGAAATTAACGATATTAATTCTACGACAAGTTCTTTGAACAGAAATTTCATTTTTTCATACTAACACAATTTTGTTTATAGTTTTTGGTAAAATGATTACATTTAAATTATGAAATTTCGTGATTCATTATACATAACATTTAACCAAGTAGAGCACACAATGACAATAATAGTTAAACTGATTGTGGCCTTTTTGGAGATAGATAAAAAAGTGTTTTTTTTTTCTTGCATTATATTTTCTTAGTTAAAATGGTCAGCTTATAAAATGAAACCTTGTCATTTTCATTTATTCTTTTATCTATTAAATGTTGACATTTTTTTCGTAAACAGTTACAGTGCGCATACACATTATCTTTGCTCTTATTGATATAGGCATAGGAAGAAAAAAAGAAGGATTTTGTCATTTATCTAATGTATTTAGGCAGTTTGTCTATACAAAATTTGAATTCTTTTCTAACTAAAATGAGATTTTGTAGTCTTGAGAATAATCATAATCAGAGAAGATAGTCTTCAGAATAGCACAGAAGAAAGTTGATGAAGATATATTTCTTTCAGATACTTTTTGTCAAAATGGAATTTAATTTAATTCTGAATCGTAAGTCAAACATTGGATCTATAAAAATAATATAAATATAAATTTATCTACATATTTAAGTTGCAATATTATCGTTATTTTGTGGTTCAATAATATCGATCAATCTGAGTCCTTGTGCCAAATGGAATTCATCAGGTATCGCGGTGGCTGGAAATAGTATATACGGAAGTTCGTCAAATGAATTAGCTAATCCGACTGGAATTTTTCTTGACAAAGGTAAGAAGATATTGTATATTGCTGATCATAATAATGGAAGAATTCAAGTCTTCTTATTAAATAATTCATCAAATAAAAGTATTACTCTTATATCTAATCTCAAATATCCTGTTCGAATTTATGTTGATAATCAAGAAACAATTTATATTGCACTTGATACAAGCAAACGTATAGAAAAATGGATCAAAGGAGCAACACAAGGTGTACAAGTTGGTCAAGAATGTCGCGGATGTTCAGCTTTATGGATAGACGAAGAAAAGGATTATGTTTACATGTCAGAATGGATTCGAAATCGAGTGAGCAAATGGTCAAATGAAACCGAGAATACAACAACTGTTGCTGGTCAATCAGATCGAACTGGAGCAACAAATCAATTTCTCAATGGTCCAAAAGGATTTTATTTTGATAAAAAAAGTGATACAATATATGTTGCTGATACAGGTAATCATCGAATTCAAAAATGGCTTAAGAATGCTGAACAAGGTATTACTGTTGCTGGATCAAGTAGTGGAAAACGAGGTGAAGATGCTGCATCATTATGGTTTCCTGAGAATGTTTTTATTGATGATCAAACAAATGTTATTTATGTTACCGATACAAATAATAATAGAATTCAACGTTGGTTATTTAATGCATCTCAAGCTGAAACTATCATTGGTGCATCAGGTATATGTACATTTATTTATTAATTTAATATCAATTTTTAATTTAAGGTCGAGGAAATCGAACTGATCAATTAAATCATCCAACTGATTTAGCATTTGATGATGAAGGAAATCTCTATGTATGTGATTCTTATAATAATCGTGTACAAATGTTTCAATTAATCGACAATCAATTGTGTTCAAAAGGTTTTTTTTCTATACATTTATTTAATCATTATTTTATTTTTATTTTCTCTTTAGGAAATAATTCAATCAATGAGTAAGTGAATCATCATCTAGATTTTATTTATATTAATAAAAAATCCTTTCTATAGAATGATGATTTTCCTCATTGCATTCTCAACGATAATAACAATGATGGAAAAACTACTTTTATAGTAGTTCTTTCTATTCTATCATGTACTCGAATACATCTTCTTTATAATCGTTTGTTATCATTCACTAATAAAAACCAGTTGTCTAGCAATTGCTCATTTATACCAAACAGTTGCATATTTTCTGTGCTTTTTTCGAACTCTAAAAAAAAGTCGTGATCTACAAACTTTATTATATACCATTTGAGAGAGATTTCCACGATATATAAAGCGGTTATTAATGACTATATCTATTTCTATTTTAAATAGCTTAATCAAAATCTAGAGAAACTATTATTATTATTATTAAATTATTAGAAAGTTAAAATATTGATAATCAAAAACTAAAACAAAGAAAAATGTTACAATTGACTTTGACTTAATTCGTCAATAATCTGGTTAAATTTCATTTGTTCTGCTTGATCTAGAGGAGTATTTCCCCACCGATCAATTTGTGTCTTTTCATTGTAACCAAATCGAATGAGTAGTTGAACAACATTTAAATGTCCATAAGCTGCAGCTAAATGCATTGGTGTACGACCATCATAATCTGCATAGAGCTCTGTTGGAATGAAATATCCACGTGAAAATAATGCATCAATTCTTTGAGCTTGGCCTGATGCAGCTAATGTAGAAAAGAGAAAGATTTTTTTCCATTTTTGTAGTAAACGAACAATGTCGTTAGTTTCTGATTCTGTATTTGATCGATGTGTTATATCTCTTTCAGTTTGATTATTTTGATCGAATAAATGTTCTTTTAAATAAGTAGAAATATTGAAATGTTGATAACGATAGGCTTCATCTATAGGCGATAAACCCCATCGATCTTGACGATTCATCAATTGTTTAAATTGATCAGTAGAACAATATTTATGTAAAAAGTAGATAATATCGATTTTCCCTTGAGCGGCTGCAAAATGTGCTATTGAACGTTGATCATAATCAAGACACTCGAGTGCATTCAAATTAGGGAACTGTTCGAGAAATTTGCTCATTATTTTCATATCACCTTCAGCTGCACTTTGATATAAAAGTGCAGGTAAACAGTTTCGTTCTATATTCATCGAAAGTATTTCTGTATTATTTGTTTGTGTTTGATCATTTAAATTTGTTTCTGTAACAATATCCAATGGTATTGATTCTCTTCTCGAGATATGATTGTCTTTTTTATTTCGTAAATAATTAAAAATGATAATATCGGATAAATGTGATGCATATTCTATTGCTGTTTGTTTAAATTGATCAACTAAATTTAAATCAATAGATGTTTGTTCAACTAGATAATGAACAATATCAACATTATTTTCCATAACTGCTATATGTAAAGGATTTCGTCCTTCATAATCGCCTGTATTTGGATTAAATCCACATGAAATTAGCAATTTAATGCCTTCTAAATTCCTTTCATAGACAAAAGCATTGAGATAGAAAGCGAGTTCTTTTGATTTATATTGAGGCATTTGTGCACCATGTAAAAAAAGAAATGAAGTCAATTGAAAATGTCCATTAGTAAAAGCATCATATAATGGTGAACCACCAAATTTATCAATTATATTAACATCGACTTTTCCATATTTAATAAGCCATTTAGATATATTCATATTTCCTTGACATGCGCTTATGTGTAATGGACTTCGACCATTATGATCAGTTAATTGTATATTAATCTTTTGTTTGATTAACATTTTAATGTCGTTTAGATCATTTTCATTGGCATATGAACACATTAAAATAGGCAAAGTTTGATTAAGTTTTGAAAATTCTTCTAATGTTGTATCTTCATTCAGTGAAGATGAAAGATTTGTCAAATAACTAATAAATTTCAGTTGAGTTTTAATTAACCTTATAAGACGAAAACGACGATAATGATCTTCTGGAATACTGATAGCTGTCAATTTAACACTAATTAAATTTTTTGAACCACCTAAAAGACAATATATCCAGCAAATAAGAGTAAATGGAAAGGTTAATGTTGGCATTCCAGTTGAAGCAAGAAAAGCTGAAACAGCTGCTTGCACAATAACAGTCATCATCGATCCATAGAATGTAAATAACCATATTTGATATCCATAAGGAATTAAAAACATTCCACCTAGTGCTTGACATGTTAGAACAGAATTATAACCCCATAATCCAGAATGAATTGTTGTTGCAGGTAATCCTAAAAGATAAGCTGCAATCAATTGACCTGTTACTGCACCAAATAATGCAAAAAATGAAAGAATTCTCGAACAAATGCAAATACCAACGAGTATAACAGCACCCGTATAAGGATTACCAATAAAATATACTTGTGCTATACTTGCAAAGAATCCAATAAAATTATCTTCAATAGAATAATTTCCATATGATATATTCGAATATGGTGGTTTCTCATTTAGTGTGGTTAATAAAGCAGGAGATAAGATTGATCCATTTATAAAAAAATATCGATATTTCAAAGCACCAAGTAGCCATATCCAAGTAGAAATTTGAAAACTAAAGGTGAATAGTGGAAGTGAAAAATGTTGAACAAGAGTTTTTCCAAGAGCAACAAAAAAAATTGTTGAAAATATACTCATTATTATAACTGGAACAACGATTTGAGGAGATTGAGGAAAACTAAAATAAGCAATTCCCATTCCCACTAAACATCCATTGTAACCATATAGACCAGATCGAATAGAATTATAATCAAATTCAAATAGATGACCTGTTAAAGTTGATACAGTTGTTCCCAAAAGACCATATAAGGATAATTCCCAATTTCCAATAAATAGACCAATCAAAATGATTAATCCTGATAAGGGATTATTGGCAAACATAACTTGACCAATACCTCGTAGAACTGAATCAATTAAAATAATAATAAATCGAATACACTTATAATTATTTAGAAAATTAGTGCATAAATATGTTTTTTCTATGTCAAACATTGTTCCAAACAATGATCTCCATGATAAATTATATATATTTTTACGAATCGATCTTCGACGACCAAAACAAGAAAAAATTTGTGCCATAATATTTCTTTTTTCTCTCGATTGATTGTGTTGAGAATCGTTACTAATTATTTGTTCAGTATCTGCATATTGAAACGAAGTGCGTACTGTTAATCGAGGTAAATTTTCTAATTGATCATCACCTGAAGTTTCTTCATCAGGATTATAAGCATTTAAAAGAGTTTCCGCATTTGAAAATAATGGCCATATTTGTCTTGTCCTTAACTCAGTATTAATTGTTACAGATTTACCATTTTCTTCTGTTGAAGTTGACACTGAAAGCAGTTATTAGGTCATCTATTAATTTACTTTTGACAAGAAAAATTCTCGTGAATAGTCTCAAATCGCTGTGCAACCCCAGCGGACCGTCAGAAAAAGAATTTAAATCTATAATTGATAATTTTTCTATCAATAATAAAGAAGTTTGATAAAATCTGATTGATCATCTTATCAGCCAATCACACTCCATCAGCGTCTATTAATAAGACCTTCCGATAACCTCATATTTGTCCTAACAATAAGAGATATCAGATTTTAGCTGACTTTTTTTTTCTTTTATTATCAAAACAAAATATAAGTCACAAATTTTCAGTAAGTGCATCAAAGAAAAAACTAGTAGAGCAGAATTAACGGTAATTCAATGATAATCATTAATGGATATTAATCAAGTGCCTGACTATTGTTAGAAGAAAGATAATCAATTAATTGATTTCCTTACTTTGATTGTTCTTCTACACCAATGGCTTGTAACTAAATATAACCAAAAAAATAAATGTAAAAAAATTGGATTGATTTTAATCAAACTGTCTAAAAACAAGTGGTGCGAATGTGAGATGACCCACTGGATCTCTTGACTAAATAGACTTTTCTACCATTTACGTGTCTGTTTCTTGATCACAGAGTTTTCTCGATAATATAGAACTTGAAAATTTGAAGGTATCCCCACCATACAAGACTTAAAAGCATAGAAAAGCACAGAAAATAATGATATTTTTCTCTATAACTCAGCTATTTCTTGACGAGTCATTCTCATTTTCGAATTCGACTGAGATCTAGATGAGGTTATTCTATTGAAAATATTTCGCCGTACATTTTCTTACTTTGTAAAACAGATGTATAGATAAAATAACAGAAGAAAGAGTAAAAAAAAAGTTAGTAAATATTCTAATAATACTTTCAAGGTGTTTTATTCTTCCAATGCGACCTTTTTCTTTATCTACTTTCAGATGTTGTGTATTTATCTTTGTATCTCTTCAATATCTTTTAGTTTTCTTTATGCATTTTTCATTTGGAGTATTTTTGAAAAAGTAATTAAAATATAAACAATATCGAAGAAAAAAAGCAGCAAGACATGGATTTTATTCATCATTTGTAACACCATTCGACTAAACATGGAGTAATGAGAAAAACATTTGCATTAATAAGTATTAACTTTTCTTTTTTGGGTTTTATGATAAAGTTTTTCGCCGATGATGAAAATAGGTAATGGTTGCACATATTAGAATTATTTTGTTTATCAATGTTACGATAAATGTGAAGAAGTATCAATTCTTTATGATCATTGTTGATTATTTTTTGCACAAAGGGACGTATATTTTCTCTTCATCCATTTACGCTAGTGGTCCAAGGCTATTACTTTATTGTTTGGTTGCTCTTTGATAAAAATAAGCGAGTTTTATTTCAAGATAATGGAGATTGCCAATGAAAGAACGGAGAATAAACATCAACTAAAAATATTATCATTATTTTTTTTTGTCACAGTGTCTTGAAAAGTTTATATGAAGTTGAGGGTGTGAGTTTGAGTGTATACTACTCATACTTATAAATACATTCACACCCACACCCACATCATTTTATTATGAATTTCCCATTCTGGGAGATTCATATTTATTGTGAATCAATAATTATTGATAATAAGAATATAACATAGGATAGTATTCTTAACTATGCCATTGCCTCTATCTTAATGTATTTCAAATGAACACAGTGTTGATGAATAATAAAAAATAGTAGTAAATAGAATGCTTGTAGTTAGTATGATTTTCTTAAATATTTATAAGCAGCGAGTAGTAGATGGGAAGCAATATTGAGAAAATAAAATGAGATGATTGATAATTATTTTAATGAGCTTTTTCCTATATAATCTCTTGAAATGAAATTTTCTTTCATCAATCCTGTAAATATTACTTATTGAGAAATGCAATATACGTCATTGAGATATACTGCAAATAAATAAAGTTTTTATTATTATTAAATCATGAGACGTGTTTTTTCTTTGCATATCCATAAATATTAAAATTCTTCTTGAAAGATTCGAAAATCTTGAAACTTGAAGCTAAATATTTAAGTATCTTAGAATAGGCATGTCCCAAATCCAAATTATTTAGTTATTTTTCCAGCCGTCATTTATATAAGACTTCTATGCGTTATATATATATATAGCCGACACAAATTGCAATATAAACTGTTCATGAAGTGTGGATCTCTAATCCAAACTCAAAACCTACACCCACATTCATTCATAGAACAGTCTTATGATGTTAACAATACTGAAGAATATTTAACTTGAATAGCTATGAGCTTAAAAATAGACTAGTGAATTTATTTTTATAAAATTTACATGATTATATCATAGTATGAATGTAAAGTAACGAAGTAAATTGTAACGTTATCGCCTTTTCTCACAAACTACTGCCGTTACACCACCTGCAGTAGCACTAGCTGCAAGCCCTACACCCACAGAAGTTGATGTAGCTACTGCACCAACAGCCCCAGCAGATTGACATAGAGCAAAGATGCCTCCCGATGCTGTTGCTGCTGTTTGCATGGATGCTGCGATACTACCGGCTGCTACACCAGCTGATGTAAATCCCGCCAAACCTAAGACGGGTAGAATGGCCAGTGGAGCTGTTACAGCAGCAGTCGATCCAATTATACATGCTTTTGTTGTTGTAGAACTTTCGTTCCATTTGGTTTTAGCAGTATTCGCAGCAGCTAAAGTAAGATTGCCAACGTTCTTTTACTGATTGAAAATTGAAGATGTTAAACTGTTTCCTTTATCGACAATTTGTGAAAGCATATTTTCACTCATCGAGTAAAATGTTATCTAACAAATAAATAGAAGCAAAGAATATCCGTTAACTAACATCAAAAAGAAATCATTTACTCAAAAAATAATATCTGAAACTTATAAGTTGAGGGTGGATGTGTGATGGATATATTACTCAAATCCAGATCCACAACCAAATATAAAAAAATGTATTTGTTTTAACAATATTTTATATATAACATATAAAACGAAAACGAAAATGAAATGTAGGCAACAGCTTTTGTCCTGTTTGTCTTGGGGAGTAGAGATAGAAAAACCGGCGACAAGACGCTATGAAATAAAGATATAATAATAACGTAAGAAAATAAAATCTTTATTTGTATATATTTTTTACTAGCTACCAATGTGGGAAATAATGCAAAATTAAAACAATTTTTTTGCAAAAAGAAATTGACGTCATCAATATCTTTGTAATACACACATGCAACAATCAACAGATAAGAAAAAAATTGGTTGGTGTGCATATTCAACATTCGTTAAATACGAAGAGAAAGATGACGCTATAGTATGAATATGTATACATATTACGTTTATGAATAAAAACAAAAAAACCTATTTAGAAAAATGAAATATTAGGATCTTTTCTATGAATCTTATGTTTGTAACATATAAATGTATATTTCGATACATATGAGAGAATAGTATTTTTGAAATCTACTTTATTTTTAATATTACGAATTAATTGACATTCTTCCATGATATACTCTATCAAATTATGAAAAGAGCGATTGCAATTGTATTTTTTTTTTATAATTTGTAGCCAAGAACAAAGGTATGATTATTAGAATATGTGTGAATGAGAATAAAAAGAGAGTATATGCATTCTCACCTACTCGAATATCCTTTTGATATAGATATTATTTTTGATATCATTGAAAAAATATCATCATACTAGTTTCATTATTATTTCATCCAATTTAAGTGAATGAAAGTGATGCTCAACATTTTATTAGATTTTTTATTCATATTATTTATTCAAAATGAAACATTATTTCAATTAAATAGTGGTTTTCGATGATTTGCATAAGCAAATGGTGAGACACGTTCAGCATAATGAACATGAGGACCAGTTACTTGACCTGTATTTCCACTTTTAGCTATTTCTTGTCCAGCTTTAACTTTATCACCAGCTTTAACTAATTTTTTACTTAAATGTGCGTAGAGATGTTGAACAAGTTTGCCATTCGTATCTTTTGTTTCAATGATAACATGTGTTCCCAAAGCTGCACCCCAATTTAAATTCTTAACTGTTCCATCTTTTGTTGCTACTACTTTTGTTCCAATGGGACAAGCATAATCAGCACCTACATGATAACCAAGTACCCATGCTGAACCTTTCACACCATATGCTGTTGTTATTTTCTTACCAGGAACAGGTGATACACAATTTACTTGATGAAAAATACAATCAATGAAAATAACAGCAATAATAATGAATAAAACAGAAAGGTTCTGTGTAATAGCCATAGCTTCTCAATTATCGTCCAAATTTATGAAAAAAATCCTAAGAATATATATGAAATGAAATAAATGATTATTTTGACGCCTTAAAGTGATTTAACATGGCTTATAAAATATTTGATACTTTATTCAAAATAGATTAATTCATTTTCAAAAACTTTGAATATCATATTTCAAAAAAACATACGTAAAAATAGATTTATAAATGAGTAGATTGAAAATTTACAATATCAAATAACCATTTCACAACATTGATACTAAGACTTTATTTTTTCTTTTTTATTCAAAATGAAATTGTTTTTGTGTATAATTAGAAAAGGTAACTAGAATAGTGTATTGTAATTTGTCTATAAATTTAATCAAATAATATTGAAAAATATCATATTGGATGAGTACAACCATTCATATCTGTATTTCAACCGTTGGCTGCAATGTTTTGATTAAAAACAAATGCAGTTCTATCATACTTATACACAAAGTGTAATATTAATGAAATAAAAAGATAGATTGTAAGTGATGAATTTTAAAGATTAGTTTTCAATAAAAAAAATGAATAATTGAATTAACCATTCAATTGCAATATAATCAGTATAAATATCAGACGCCAATCTAAGTAGTATAATTTAACAAATATTTTATCTTTTAGTCAGATGATTAGCGACTCCTTATATTTTAACATTAAGCGAATCATATTTTGTGAATTTCTTTCGTTTGTAAGAATATGATTAGTTTACTTTGAATGTCTAGACGACAAGCACTTAGAATGGCAGAATAAGAATTTTTCAGTTATTGACAGAAACGAAAAAGAATTGAATTTATGGTAGAAGAATAAATAATGACATATAAAAAAGCGTCTACAACTACGAACAAGTAAAATTGCAGCATGTGCGACGTAAAAATGTAAAATATTTATTATGATTAACAAAAATTGAATTGTTCTATGACAAAACCAATTGTTCGATTTTCAATAGTATTTCAATCATTAGGTTGGATTCTATTATTTATATTTATTGTGATAATTTGGAATTATCGATTATGTTCAGATGTAACTCATTTCTATAATAATGATAATGATTGTCAACAATCTCTCAATGAAAGTGATGGATTTATTTGTGAATCAAATTATCTTTGGAATAAACGTAAATATATTTATCAAACTCAAGAAAAAGAAAATTTAATAAGACGTCCAAATAGTTACTATTTTGCGTCAAATTGGGAACCGAATTTTCATTGTTCTCATGCTGAACGTATTGGAGCTATGGGTGATGGTGGGAAATGGATTTGTGATTTATTTCGAATGAAATCACAAAATAATTGTTTAATTTATAGTGCTGGATCAAGTGGAGATTTTTCTTTTGAAATTCATATGAAAAAAGTTCTACCTCACTGTGAAATTCATACATTCGATAAAAATCTATATTTATGTCCAACAAATACATGTATATTTCATCAAATCATGTTTGGTACTGATATTCAACTAAATAATTCAGAAACTTGGTCGACTATTATTCAAAAATTAAGCCATACCCATCGATTCATCGATGTACTTAAAATTGATATTGAAGGTGGTGAATATTCATTTCTTCCACAGATATTTAATTCAATAAAAAATATATGGCCACGACAAATTCTAGTTGAATTACATCCAATAAATGTTACTATTATTGAAGGTATATTCGATCTCATGCGTAAAAATAATTATGTGATTTTCAATAAAGAAAATAATGTTGACGGAGGACCTTATTTCTTTGAATATGGATTTTTGAAATTAAATCCACAATTTTTTCTTCATTCTTCGTCGAAGACATAATAATTCTTAATTGTATATGATGTATTATTCATTTTATTTTATTGTTATTTTTGGTAACTCTTGTAAGATTAAGAAGGAATATATAATTAATTAATAAAATAAATACAAAAGTGAAGAGTAATAATAATAAAAGATTAGAACAAACAGAAATAGTTATTGATAAAGAAAATACACATTTCTGAATACATCGAGTCATATTGCTCATAATTTGAAGGTGGGAGGGTGTGGGTATAGGTGCGTCATGAGTATACTACTCACACTGCCGATATCCGAAACGAGAGTTCGTTTATTTAATGCGGTTCATCACTGACATCAATTGAACGATCAATAGCACCAACCAATGCTTTCACAACATATTCGCCTTGCGAGAAAGGATAGTCAGCTCCACTGTGTTTAAGAACCCTTTTCCTTTCTGTCTCATAATCATTGGTAACATCGACATTTGGCATTATTCGATCCCACTTTTTCATGCGCTTGACACAACTAGGATCATCAGTACATAGTAAAAAGGAAATATGTGTGGTTTTGACATTTCGCTCTTCTTGCATGAGACGTTCAAGTTCTTCTGGATTCTCTTTTTCATGTTCATCGGTGGGCAGTCCATCAGTGGCGACGAAAACTAATAACTTTTTATCACGTCCACGACGTGCTAGTTCTGATTGGAAGATTTTTTTCAAAACAGGCACCATAGGTGTCAAGCCACTTGGAGGTTCACTAAATGCTTGTTCAACAGTTCTCGGTTCTCTTACTCCAAGTAATTTTTCCCTGTTGAGAAAGTAAATATCAACACCGTTCGAATCGTATCTAACACCAATATCAAGTACAATTTTAACGAAATCGCGTAGTTCGTCCCACCGAGTGCGCTCAGTATCATCAACTTCTGTTTTCATTGAACCAGAATCATCGCACACAATCACGATTTCATAATCTCGAAGTCCTCGAAGATGATTCGCCGTTTCCGGTAATATTTTATATTTACGAGAAATTTCGCAAATGATAGCGTCGTCTATAAAATTATAGATCAATATCAAATTTATAAACATATCATATAAAGAATATCATTTAACAGGAAACTATTAGGTTTATAGAGATAAGAATGATCAAATGATTAACTACTAGTTATTCGAATAATACGCAATTTTATTTCTCATTCTAACTACATGCACTATCGTTCTTAGGGAGTTATTTTACTTGAGAAATGCACATACCGCTACTTATTTGTCGTTGTAGTGATATGTCGCCAGATTGATTGAGTTCATTTATTTCGCTTGCTGACATACCCGTGCCTACAATGAAAAAACCACACAAAACAAAGAAAACATGCCGACAAAAAAGCCATCTTCACATTTACCGGTGCTATTCAAAGTTTGCTCAATTGTGTCATTATTAGTCGAATTAGAAGGGTTTGTATTCCTATTAGTATTTAAATGTTGTTGTCTGTTCGATGGCATTTCGCTATTTTATTCTATGAATAAATACAAAACTACATATATTTAATGTAATGTAATGTAATACTTCTTAGTGATTGAGAGAGGTGGGTGAGTGTACTGGATATGAGTGTCTATGGTAGGCCAAAATTTATTGTTGGAAGTAGTGTTTTTCAATATGTTTTGATAATCACAATTTCATCATCAAATTGTTATAATGTGAAAATTTAGTTGAAAATTTCCAAGGTTTTCGATTAGATAAAAGTAGAAAGGAAGAACAGAACGAAAATGAAAAGAAGTGAAGTTATAATCGAGATCTTTACAAGGGTCTACTGCACCATAAAAAAAAAGAAAGAAAAAGCAATCTTCTATAAAAAAAAAAAACTTGATAAATTCACTGAAGAGCTATGCAAATATATAGTTGGAAGAAAAAAAAATGTTCTGCCTTGCTTGGCGGTGACAAGTTATCTTTGCTTTACCAGATAACAGGTAGCTGATATAATGAATATAACAAGGGTGTGAATCTGAGTCTGGATATGCGAGAAGTACAATGCCCATACCCACACCCTTCATAATCATAAACTGCTCGATGATTTTTGCATCATCCTGTATACTCTAGGATAATATATGTATATTAATCTATTATAGATTCCCTCTGAAAAATATCATTAGAAACGTAATTCAAAAAAGAACATCGATTTTTCAGTTGAATAATATTAGAAGACAAGATATGTATTTATTTAATTATGAAATAATTAATTAAAAATTATAAATTAAAAATATTTTTTTCTTTTATTTCAATGTTCGTTTTTTGATTGTGTGTATTTACATCAATCGTTACGTGTTGATTTATTTGTTGAGTTTGTGAAGCAAATTTCGATTTTTTTCGTATATTTTGACCATATTTATAAAAAATAAATGGAAATGGTAAACAAATCAATGTTAGAAATGCTGGTATAGATGTAGCCCAATGAATTCCTAATTTCTCATACATTTGATTTGTAAATAAAAGAAAAACTGATCCAAAAATATATCGTATTATCATATTAGCTGCAAATGCTGAAGCTGTATATATTGTATAGGTATCAATTAAATAATTAAAAACACCAACAAAAATAGAAGTCATACCAAAACCAAAAGGTATACTTGCAATAACTGAAACAATCCAATGAATAGATGGAGAATTAGTCCAAGCGAACCAAAATAATCCAATAGGTAAACAAATAGAACCAACTATAGCGGGTGGAAGACGAGTTTCAGGTAAAGGACATTGAGGATTATATTTATTTGTTGTATAATTATATCTAATATTATCTAATATTGTATAAATAGTTGCAAGAATAATTCCAATTAAAACTCCAATAAAAGGTAATTCACCAAGTCCTTCACTCCAATTTCGTTTATCTTGATAAACAATTGGAAAAGCATCAAGAAACATATGAAGAATTCCAAAAATAATTGCCGTATAAATTGAAAGAAGAAAAACAATTGGTTCACGAAATAAAAGAATCCATGGACGTGAAAGAGAATTTTTAAAAAGTTTAACAAATTTTATTTCACTTTTTTCTTCGAATTTTGAACAATAAATTTTTCCTGTTACATTTCTTAATTTTTTTGCTCTTTTACGTAAAATAATTGGACTATATGTTTCGGATAAAAATAAACAAATAATTATCCATATTATTCCACTAGAAATAGTCATTATTCCTTCAACCCAACGCCATCCAATTGTTTCACCTACAAATCCTCCAACAATTGGTCCAATTATAATACCTAAAAATGTTGATCCAACAAATATTGATAAAGGAATACCACGTTCAGATCCTTCAAATAAATCAGCAATAACACCTCCAGAATTTGCCATTGATGAAGCAGCAAATGATCCGGCAAAGAATCAAAGTATAATTAATGTCCAAATATTTTGTGATGCTATTGTACCACCAATAAATGCAACTAATCCACCATAAGTTATTATGAAGAGTAATCGTCGACCAAAAATTTCGGAAAATGGTGCCCAAAATAAAGGTGTTATTGCAAAACTAAGAGTAAATAATGATAGACCAAGTACAATTAATTCATCACTGCTTATAATCAATGTTATAAACCATTTATATAAATTCATCCATTTCTTAGGATTTTCGGGATCATAATTAAGCCAATCAATTATAAATGGACTATTTTCATTTCCATCACCTTTATATTTTTCTTGTAAAAGTGTTTTAATTCCTAATTGTTTAACTTTCCATGGAAACCATGATACAATTATATCATTTTCGAATTCATTATTAGATCCATTTTTTAATAAATCATTTAACATATTCAAATTTAATAAATAAAATAAATAAAATAAATAATAATTGATGATGAATACTTATCTTATTTCTGTGTAAAATAACATAAATATCTGTATTCTTATATACTCTCATAAATATCTTCAGAAGAAAAGGTCGTGCGTTGGCGTATGTACATACATGTACAAAACTATCACCTGGATTTTCTTTTATTAATCAATCATAAATTTCAATTCTTTGTTTTTATCAAATATTTATGTACGATTGTTCAACTGAATTGAATAAAGGGAAAAAAAACATCAATTAACATTCATTTTTCATGTATTTCAATCTCTTCTTTGATCGTTACTTTTTTTTTACAGTAAAAAATCTGTAGTTTCATTTTTATTTAAATTTTTACGAAAATTTGAAAATAAAAACTAAATTAATTGTTAACAGAATAATCGTTATGAATTAATCTTATTTTATAAGTTTTTTGAGAAAAAAACAACTAAGGATACTTATGATGACTAGAAAAAAAGCTGAGTCATTTTGCCTAATTGAAGGTTGATGAAGCATAACTGTACTTGATTTATTCATTCTTTTTCGCTTATACTTGTTATTACTCGATAAATATCCTTCGAAAAAAAAAACGTGATATATTAAATAAAACAAATGGATAATGAAAATAAAATAATAATTCTAACATCAAATAAAGATTTAATTAATCAATTATCGGCAAATAAAATTCGAGATACACATACAATTAATTTCAATTATCTTAATAATTTATCTCAACTTGTTTGTATTTATTTTTAAATAAAAAACAAAATTTATGTTTTTATTTTTTTAATAGAATTCAAAAATTGATAAATTATATGAAAAACTTATTAATTCATCAATTAAAAATTCAGATAAATTCAATGATCGTATTTGTGTTATTTGTGGTAATGTTGCTATTGGATATAATTATGATGTACTTTCTTGTGCTTCATGTAGAATATTTTTTTATCGAAATCAAAATCAAAGAGTAATGAAATTTTTATTTATTAATCTTAAATTAATTGAAAGTTAGTTTTTTTTAGAACAAATTAAAATGTTTATTACGTCAAGGTCAATGTTCAATAGATTATAAACATGATCAAAAATGTCCACGATGTCGATTGGATCGTTGTTTTCAAGTGGGAATGAGAAAAGATCTTAGAATTAATCATCAACAAAAACGACATATTTCATCAAAATCTGTTTCACAACCAATTCATACAACTGATAATGTAAGAATGTCTTATACTTTACTTCTACACAATGGGTACATGCAAATTTGGCATCTTTAGCATTTTCCGTTGAAATTAGTTGATTTCGTACTGTCAAAGTAATTGTAACATCTAAACACAAAACTTTACTAAAAAAATGCTCAAAACGTACTGAGGATGGTCATGGTTCCAAATCTGCGCTTTATTCTTGACTCTACAACTGGGTTCATTAGAACAAATACACATATATATCATATACTTTACTTTTGGCATCAATCCTGATGAACGAAAGCTCGTATAAATCGTAGTTAGATCGTTGAGTAAATCAGTTCATCTTTTGAATTTTGTATCGTGAAAAGAAAAGTTATTTGAATAATAAAGACAGCAGTTAGAGATGTCCGGGGTTTCATTCCTTAAATAACTCGAAATCCGACTGAAAGGTCATTTTTGTGCATTATTTATTATTGAATTTATTATTTAAATAGTTAATGATGGATATTGTTAAAGAAGATGATGTTATTTTGATTTGTGATAATAAAAATGAATTGTTATCTGTTGAAGATTTATTAATAATTGAAAATATTCGTTCATCATTTGTATTAATATTTCAAGATCATAATATTCAATGTTCATGTGTTGATATATCAAATCGTATATGTGCTCTTGTATCTTGGTCACAATTTGCAAGTCGAAATATATTAGATTCTATTAAGTTTTTTCGTGAAATAAATCAATTTGAGCAATTAAATATTGATGATCGATTTATTTTAATAAAATATAATATTTTTTTACTTTTTTTAATATTAAAATGTTTTTATTTTAAACGATCAAATGATTGTTGTTCATATGATAATAATCAATTTGCAGAAAAACATCGACAATTCTTTATATTATGTGGAGATTCATATGGTATACGTGATATGTTTGTTAATTTAATTCATTCACTTGTTAAAATAACTGAACAAGATCCAATATTTTTATCATTTTTATTAATAATTCTTTTATTTAGTCAAGGTTTATCAATGAATGAAAATGAACCAAGTTTAAAAGATTCATTAATTGTTAATCAATTTCAATCTTATTATATTGAATTACTTTGGAAATATTTAATTAATAAACAAGGTGAAATTAAAACTTGGAAATGTTTTACTCATTTAATTACAATTATTATTCGAATTCAATCAGTTGGAAAAATAATTCGAGAATTTTTTCGTATACAATCAATTACATCAGACGTTATGGATCAAATTGAACCACTTATGCATACTCTTTTACTTATTCAATAATTAATAATAAAAATTTTAAAATCAAACATTCTTTTTTTCATCATATTATCAAAAACATTTTTCTTTGTTAAATATTTTCTCTTATATCAAATTAATAAAATACATTTACTCAAATAATTAAAATTATTGAAATCAACACATTTGGACATTGTTGACCAACCCCATTGAATTATATATCAATTGAAAGAACTCAGGTTCACCAAACCGATAGTCGAATTGTATTGGATTTTTATAAAATCGATGAAATCCTATAGGAATTGAGGTAACAGAATAGCTTCAAAGTCCGTAGTATTGGATGTTATCGGATCCTATTATAGGAATTTCCATGAAATCCCACACGAGTTGTGGCCGATCCACAATAATGTCCCCAGACACTAATTAGTAACCAATTAATAAAATAGAATTTTACGGTCGAATTTCTATGTAGATTTGTTGTCCGGAATCTGATTGTATCCGGTATTGGATTTATTAACCTGAGAACACGCTAGAATTTATATTTTGATACTATTTTCACTGAAATTTTTATCGAATTTTTGAAGCAAAAAACTATTAACAAAGTAAATTATTTTATGATTGTTGATTCAATAATTAACCGTATTATAGTCTACTTACTTTCAGAATGAATTAATAAGAAAAATATGCTTTTTTCATAGTATTGATGATTTTTGATTGCTAATGAGCCTTTTTAATAGAGCACAGTAGAATCTATAACAAAACTAATGTCACATTTAAAATCAAGGTCGAAAACGGACTCGTCAGTGAGAGCGAGAGCACGGTTCAAAAGGAAACAAATATCTACATTTTCAAGAGAACGAGAATTTTTTCATCAAGATATTTATATTATTTAAGAGTAATGTTACTCAAGAATGAAATCGAACAATGATAATATTGTATAAGAATGATAACGTAGAAAAACAATAAATAGTAAAAGAATTGTGGCTATCGTCACACATGCTTCCTGTCATAGTTTAGTTTAAAATCTTTGAAATGTCACATCAGATACTGATGAAGAAATTGTATCGGCTTTATTGGAAAATATGTTACCATGCTTAAGTTTTGTGCTCTCATAGGTAAGAAATAGCAAAAGACCCGATATATCTATGAGAAATACTACGCTCAAAATAGCCATCGTTATTCCCGTGCGACTAATATTCATTGCACCTAGTATTATAAGAGCCACAGGGGGACTTAATGTAATCAGAGTCACCAAGAAAAATTTTAAACATAACTTGAGTAAATGCCACTTTCGTAATGAAAAATCAATAATCTTCGTTTCATTCATCTCTCTACCAGTATGACTCGACTTCTTTCGCTGTAACACATGAAGTAAAAAACGTAAAAATATATTCACGAACCATCCAAATACTTGAAGTAATCCGCCACATAGACCAGTTTGATTTAGTATATCTACAGTTCCTATGTTTTGTTTTATCCAACGATAACAAACGAGACTTCCTAGTGACGTATCAATTCTTGTATCAGATGAATTACAAAAAAAATATGTATTATTAATAGTTGTATAACAGTCCATTTCATCATCCGATGGACATTTACTATTCGGCGCCACATAATGACTAATTAAAATAAGTTCAGAAATGAAAAGAACAAATGTTGCTGTTAAGACAGCTGTTGCCATAATAAGTAAGGCCAGAGCAGGTAGAAAACCAAACGTAGTTGCTGGCAAATCAATTTGTACACCATAAATATCAAGAAATTCTCTGCTGTTAGATAGAGTTGCTTCATAGTGTTTAATTGAAAACAATACTTCAATCATACGATAAAATGTTCTAGAACGCCAGCGTACAAGAAAGAATAAAATAGCAAAGATTACAACAGCCACACCAAAAGATATACTAAAGCCAGCAATAATATATTCTTGATGGCTCCAAGTCATTCTGTATAGTTATAAATTCACGTATAAAATAATTATGTTAGTAACAGAAAAGGTCAAATCTTAAAACAAACGACAATAAAAGTAACTTTTTTTTTCAAAAGTGAATTATTAAGAAGAGAAGATTCTATATTCTTCGGATAAATTTACTTTATGTAATTTAATCTGAATAAGCATTATATGAGAGGTCTCTTTCACTTGTAGAAAAAATAAAATGCAAATTTATAATACGCAGTTGAAAGCATATATCAAGAAGAAATTTAATCTTTTCTTTTATTATCAACATACTACTAGATCAGAAGAAACTATAACTCTATCAATCATTTATGAAAACTTTTCATCTAAATTACATCTGTATAGCTCATACTCATGAGCGAAAGCACTACTTATTTAGCTCAAACATGTGAGAAATTAGAGTTATCATTTTTTGAACTCATTTTTGTAGGTACCGTTAGTAACGTTCGTGGAACTATTTGGATGTACTATCAATGGCATTTCAGAAACTATCTAATGCCTCATTGGTCATTTCTTAAGGATTATTTGGTTGAAAAAAATGTTCTTACATACATATTTATATCTAATAGTACAAATGGAAACATTTTTAATAGAAATAAAGGTTTAATAAACGAAGATGCAAAGTATTGAGATATTGTTTGAGTCTTTTTAGCAAATTCTTCAATAATATATCGTCAGAATATAGGCCTAATTCGAATGCTACTAAACTAGTCTAGAAAATTGATAATTTAGATGAAAGAATTGAATAAGTCATCAACAGAGCTAATTTCTTCTATCTGGTGACAGATTATTATCTACTAGTTCTGACTATCCTAACTAAAAAAACATCGCTACCCCGAAATCCAATACGACAAACGAAATTTTTTCATAAAACTACCTAAATGTGACTAGGATATTTGTTTTAAGTCAGAGTCAAGCTATCGTGAAACATGGCTCTTAAGACGCTTAATCAACGGTTCATAATTTATAAATAAATTCTATGCATTCAAAAAAAAACTCCGATCAACTGTACCAAAATACCATTCCCTTTAAGAAATCCTAATATTTGCATAGAAAGGTATCAACCGAGAGTGAATTACGTCTTATCTTGGTGTGGAAAGAAAAAACGTCATAATGACGTTTTAAATTGAGTTTCATATATCAATATACTGCCAACTGGTCCGCGATCGAATAAAGAATACAATGCGTGTCAAACAAAAAAATGAGAATGATCATGTTAATTATGTTTTTTTCCTAAATTTTTATCTCATAAAGGAGGACTTATTGTTACAACTCAAGTACATGTAGTAATAAAACAATAATAATAACAGTGATATGTCGTTGTTAAAAAATACGATGTGTTTCAAGGTAAATAGTGAATAAAAGATAGAAGACTGATATTATCTAAGAATAAGACAGAATTAATCGTATAACGTATCTCTGTTACGTTGTCTATACACCTTACGATAGAAAACATGCTTTTTTTCTCAACACCAACAAATTCTCGTTAAAGAAATCTCACTCACAGCCGTATATACATGGAAATTAGTAGTATTACTTTATCTTTCTTTTACTTTATAATGAGGAATAAAGATTTTTTTCTTATCGAAACATACTTTTTTAATTTCTTAAAGCACCTACCAAAAAACTATGATATTATATAGTTACCTATAACATGGAAATGACGATGGTGACAAAAAAGAGCATGGATAAATGTATTCTGTTGTTATACAGGGTATTTGCACATGTACTTACTGCATAAAAAACAATATCTTTATCCTTTATTTTAACTTTATTTTTGCAAATAAAGATTACCTTTATCTTTATCTTTATCTTTATCTTTATCTTTATTTCTTTATCTTTCTTCTTTATGAAACAAGTAACGCTCGTTTAAAGACTCGTTCAGCTCCTTCTCATAGAAATCGCGTTACTAAACAATTACCAAGCTATTGATTCATATAGTTATACAAAAGAGAAATCAGATTTGAATTCATCAGTGAAGTGCGAACACACAAACAAGCAGACAATGTATGTTTGCAAGACTCTTCTCTACGAGAAAGAGAATAAAAAAAGATAAAGTAACACTCCTAGTCGAAATTGACATCAAAATTCAGCTACCTTTTAAAGACAACTAGTTTACTTGAATGTGTGGGTATGGTATAAAAACAATACCCACACCTACATCCTCAAAATATCTGTCCTACCTACTGTACACCCTCATTCTCAAAATAAAATCTGTATAAAATGAATTATTTAGTTCGTTTTTTGCTCACATGATAAATATTATTATTCATATTTTAGTATTTTAAATACTTTCACTAATTAGATTAGAGTATAGAAGTAGCAGATGTTTATTTTGCTGAAGAAAAAAGATTCAAAAGATAATTTAATTATAAAAGTCATATTAAAGTCTTTGGATAGATTATGTCGCATGAAACTTTTCATGACTGGATAATTGCTTATTGATCAATCGTTGAAATGGTTTTTCGACGAAAATAAACCAAATGACAGATATGATGAGGCAAATTATGAGTACAAGTATTAGGCATATAACTGTTAGAATATCGATTGAGTACCGTGTAGGATCAAATATATGACTGTGAGTCATTATCAATTCCAATGCAATTCGACAATGAATTATATATACATAATAACTCAGTTTAGCAAGTGGTGTCCATATAGGATGCGATAGAAATGATCTAATCCATGGACTATAGTAGGGATGTGTGGATGGACAAATAGCTGAAAACAGAATAAATGCTTGCGCTATTGCAAATATTTGTCGTAATATGGAAACCATAATTGTTAATACTACATCATTGATTGTATCTGGTTCAGTTGGTATCGTCGATATGATCATAAATAGAAAAATTAATGTTAAATACGTATACTTTTTAATCGTTCCGTAACGGATCATAGTGTTATTTTTTGCATTGATTAGATTAAATGCGAGAATAGATCCAATTATAAAACTTGAATATCGGCCTGGTATTGACAAGTATATCAGTTCCGCGAACGATGTTATTGGACTAGGATCAATCACCTTCTCAAATCCCAGTGTGACATTATATTCATTTGTAACCCAATCAATAAACCGTTGCGGCATTCCTAATGC